CACACACACACACACACACACACACACACACACACACACACACACACGGATTACCAGACTACAGTGGCCTGGCCACCTGCTGCCTTTTGCGATGGTTACCAGGAGACAGCGGGGAGAAACAGGCCGAGAAGGGCCGAGGTGTAGAGAAGAAAAGGCCGAGACAGACGGGGTTTTAAAAGACAAAGCAAATCGGATACAGCCGTCGCAAATCGGCACCTCCTCCATGGAAACGCGGCTGTAGACGGCACCTATCACGGCCTCTCCGCAGTCTAGAGGTGCAGAGCAGATCGGAGTGGGTGGGCGACGGTGACGTCACCAGGCTTGCGCTAGCCATGTGCTCAGATCTCACATGGCTCAGGGAGAGGGAGGGGAGGAGGGAGGTTTACACAAGGAGAAGCACCGAGAGAGAGGAGGAGGGGAAAAGGGGGGGGCGAGCCACTCGTCTACAATAAAACCGATTATATTCTAGATCAGAGGAGAAATACACAGAGCAAGAGATAGACAATCAGCTAGAAGCAGTTTGGGATTAGGGCAGCGGTGTAAGCTGGTTTTGGTAAATAATTCTGTGTTATTGTTATTGACTTTCAGTAGAATCATATTGTGTTCACATCAACAAATTGTGTTATTATTTTACATAAGTCTGTAGTCCAAATCAAAGATTCCAGGTTAAACACAAAGATTAGATTTGACATGTGAAGCGTTTTGTTAGATGTGATGAAGTTGAGGGAGTGAAACAATTCATTGGGTTTTTAAATGTGATTTCCTTGATATTGAATATTCCTTTAAATATTGTGTGTATTTCCCCACTAACCAGTGTCTGTGCGACAGTGCGGGCTGAGGGAGCTACTGCCAGCCACTGTGTGGTACCTACTGGTAGCTGTGCGGATACCCAGACTGCAACTAATGATTATTTGTACCATTTCATTATTCCACTTATTACATTTTTACAAAATAGAGAAGAGGAGCTAACCCTCACATTTGAGTAGACGTAGTAACTCAATGTTTGACATCTATGCTCGATAAATCATTATGCTATCAAATCTGTTGATGATTAACTGTCGACCGACTAACTGATCAACTGTTTCAGCGCTAGTAGGTCCGATTAACAATGTTGCCGTTTGTTTTTGTGGCTGATGAATAGTGACCTGTCTTCTGTAAACCTTCTTTACAACACATGGAAACCTTAACCACACTGTATGGATCAGCAGCATCATGTCAAAGAGTCCAATCCTTATCTGGTGTGCTCCCTGCTGGCTGGCCATCGACTTTGAAGCCAGTCTTATTTTGAACAAGTTCTTCCATCTATCTCGTGGCCTAATTTAGCTCCTTTCCACCGACTCCCGACGGCATATTCCACTGAACTCTAAATCGTGAAGCTTCTACTCCACTTAAAAAAAAAAAAAAAAAAAAAAAAAAAAAAAAAAAAAAAAAAAAAA